TACAGTTAAATACAATGCAAGGTATATAAGCATATTATAAGCTTACCGATTGTTGTAAACAATAGCTAATCATGGTTGGCCAAAAACCGAAGAACTGAAATTTAAATTGGATTCATTATAGACAGAGAAATTATTATTGTCTTAGTTTTGATAACAGAAAATTTAGTTTTGTGTAATGATGCTTACGATGTATAAGCACAAAAAAGGATGATGTACATATACCATTTTTCATCCTCAACACACATCCTGACTTTAAAAACACAATAGTGAATGGACCAACCATACGATATGTACAAAATCACATACCAAACTTAAAGACTTCAAATATTTMTAACCCAATAAATAAAATTATAATGCAATCAACATAAAATTATCACACGACTAAACTTACGATAAGAACATACTTAAAAATATAATCCAATCAAAATCATGATACAAACATACATAACATTCTAATACATTCTAAATTACAAAATAAACTTGCATAAAATTCTTACCTTAGATCATAATCATAAATTCCCACAACCYAAACTTGAAAACTTCAAAATTTTAAGACTTAATATATAAAAGTTGAAGAACTCGAAAATCTGCAAATCAAAAATTACATAGTAAACTTAAACACTTCAAATTTTCACCTAATACATAAGAGTTATAATACAAACATAAATAAAATTATAATGCAATCAAAATCATGAAACAAATCAATATAAAATTATTACCTTGTATTGCAACCAAAAATCAAATATTGAACTTGAAGACTTCTTCAAATCTTCATGACATAATGCATAAAAACTATAATGCAATCTAAATAATGATACAAACATTCATAAAATTATAGGAGAAGAGAAATAACAAAAAAACTATGAAGATTATYAATAGTAAAATAGAAGAAAAACCAAAGATGAAAATAAATTTAGAGATGTATAAGATAGAGATAGAATTTGAGAGGATGTGAGAGATGAAGATGAACAAAAAGTTGTTGTTTTTATATATATAAATAAATAAATGATTGGAAAAGATGAATGATTTGGAGTTATGTAATTTGAATTAATATAGAAGAAGATGAATGATTTGGAGTTATGTAATTTGAATTAATATAGAAGAAGATGAATGGTTTGAAGTTGAATGCAAACATTTAAGAAAAAAAACATAAATTGACAAAAATAATAATATAATAGTGGATATTAAAAGAATGAAGGAGAAAAAAGAGAAATAAGGTTCTAAGTTCTAGGAGAAGCCATCTGAACAACTCATGGTTTCTTATTTAATATATAAACCCAAATAAACAAAAATGCAAATGACCTCCAAAAAAACTGAATAGATGGGAAGAATTGAGAGGTTAAGAGAGATATTATGCTTAAACAATGTTAAATTGTTTCTTCAATGATTCATATGCCACTTTATCAATACAAAAAGAAATCCATATGCCTACATAATTCCAACTATAATGTGAATGTCTCCGACTAAAAAAAAAATATTATACTTACATAAACAAAAACTCATATCATGATTTGTCTTATTGAACGACACCTCAAATAAACAAAAATGCAAATAACATCCACAAATTTATAACTGAATAGAGATAAAAAATCGAGAGATTAATAGAGAGATTATCATAGAAGTATACCACAAAATTATACATGAATATAGAGGAAGAATTGAGAGATTATTATAGAGGTTTACCTTGAAGAGAAAATGAAAATTTGTAACCAAATAGAGAGAAATAATGAGAGTTAAAAGAGTAATTATTAGAGGGAACATGAATAGGTTGAAACAACCTAATTAAAAGATCTTAAATGTGAATATTAAAAATAAAAAACAAATATTGAGGTAGGAAAAGTTTGAAAAAAGAAGAAAAAAGATAAAGCATTTTCTTGTTTTGAGAAGAGGCCACATCATTACATGTGGTTTCTTCTTTAATATATATATAGATATAGATTTATTGTCTCCATAAATTTATTTATGGAGTTTTTAAAGTGCAATTATATTATTGTATTATTAGTGTGGGCAAATTATATGAAAAAGTAACATACTTTAACTTGATTTCTATTTTGGATAACGTACTTTCAAAACTTCCATTTTGATACATAAGATGTAAAGTTTTAAACATTTAAGTACCCGGGTAACTGGTTGAAGTATTAACCGATTATCATGCTGATGTGACGAGTGATGTGGTATCCAACTCGGTATTATTTGCTGACGTGGTCAGTGACGTGGATTTTTTTAAATATAAAATTAGTCTTTTTTTTAATCTAATTTTAGTTTTCAAGTGGTTATCCGAGTACTTAAATGTTTAAAACTTTACATCTTAGGTACCAAAATGGAAGTTTTGAAAGTACGTTACCAAAATAGGAATCAAGTTAAAGTACGTTACTTTTTCATACAATTTACCCTATTAGAGTTGCATATCCTCTAAACTTTTGAAGAAATGCACTAAGATGTATCAGATTAATCTCTATATCAAGTGTGATTTATGGGTGTGATTGAGATTAAAAGTGACAAATGGTTTAGGTCTATTTTTACGTTTTTCACATTAACTCTCATTCTCATACGATCCTTAGTCTTCATACATATTACAAGGTGTGAGGGTTAATGTCTATCATCTGGGACATTTGTGTCTAGGGCCCTCGATCGACGCTCCTACACATTTTTGCTCGTCAAGCATTTGTTAGAGGAGACGTGTTTAAGACTTTAAGTTAACGACTAGATTTAGATTCATTATATCTTGAAACCTTCATTCTTTTTCTCGAATAGTTTAAAAAATACCTCTCGAAGGAATTCGAATTCACATGGTAGAACGTAATTCTTTGGGCTCTAACAAGAAATTCCAATTCTTTCATACCATCTCACCACGATAGATGTCATCATTGTCCTCACCATCTTGTCATTACCACTGTCCCCTTCACCCTACCACAATCGTCGCCATCGATGTCACCACCACCATTGTTGTCAATACCACCGCACTACAATCATCACCATCGCACCACTACCATCGACACTGCTATCGCCCCCACCCCACTACTATTTTATCCAACGAAACAAACAGATAGATTCAAATTCTTTTGACAAATTTTATTTCAATTCCTGCCAACCAAATGTATGGTCAAACATAATTAAATTTCATTCCAATTCCTTATAGTTCCAATTTCTTTATCAGATTCTCGTTCAGACAAATTCCATTATATAAACCAAATATGGTCTTAAAGCTTAATTGCACTATTTCAAATATGGCAGCATCATTAATCCCGTCAATTAAGTTATTCGGTCGCTTCGATTCTAGGGCTTTCAATTTCAAATTAAGTTGTGCATAAACCCCAAAAACTAGGGTTTTCATGAGGTCCACTGGCCTGTAGATTTTGAAAAGGGGGGAAAGAAGTGAAATGATTGTTGTTTTTGAAATATAGAAGGCAGGAATGTCACCATGTGATTATTAACTGGTTGACATCATAATTGCTACTTTTCACGAGGATCTTTTTAGAATTTTATGATTTTTGTCTCTAATTCTTGGCTTGTTTGACTGGACTATTTGTGTGTATGTTGTTAACTAGAGAGGGAGAAAGATATGATTGTGCTTTTTTTCTTACAGATCTTCTACTTTCCAATTGGACCAAATCTGGATTCTGTGCAGGTAGGAAGTCTTCAATGGTTTCCGAGACCTTTTCCCCTAAACCCTAAATAATGGTTATAAAGAAAAATCGATCAAAATAGTTAAAATTCCATCCGTTAAATTCAATTTTTAGTATTTTTTCAAGGTATCAAAATTTTTACTTAGAAATTTGAATCTTTACATAGAAATTGAATCTTTACTCACAATTTTTTCAGAAAAAAAATAGAAAGTTGAATCTTTATCGGTGTTCAAAAATCTCCTCATAACAGCTATTGTGGTGCACCATAGCTTTAAGACTTGTGTGTCACGTCATATTAAACCAGTAGCACACTGATGCACCGTGACCTAATGCTTGGTTTTTGTAATGAAATATTTGATTTTTTTTTACCTTTTTAATGTTTTATTTGTTGGTTTCTAAATATATATCATAATTTAAATTATTTGATATCACTGACTCATATACTAATAGTAGAAAATATATGTTTATATGTATAATAACTTATATGATATAAAGATTTGACGCCATAAGCCATGTATTGAAAAACAGTGCGGCCTTTGCCTTCAAAGGCTTGAGTCTTTGACCTCCCCGCCAAGCCACACCTCATGCTATTTATAACCTTGATCTTTTTTTCAATTTCCGGTGTAAGGATTCAAATATTTGCATAAATTTTGGCTAAATTTAGACTCGTGACGTTGAATTAGACATTCAAAAACTAAAGCGCACAATATAAAATGTTTATTCAATTGAAAAAATGGGTAAAAGATGAAGTTGGACAAGAAAATTGGCTATTTTTTATCGATTCTCAGGTTATAAATTACCCATTTTCACTTCAAACTTGTGATTTGCTCTGAAGATTTAACAAATTTTGGTTTGATGGTTGAGTTTTGTGTAATCCAAAATGAAGGCAAATAAGGTCGCGTCTCTTTTTACAACTTTTTCCTTTGTTTCTTTCTGCATCATCTTTTTGTTTTGTAATGCAGTTCATCACGAGGTTATGTCAGAAAAACAAGAATAAAAATTCAAAAAAACCCATACGTTATCTCTCAAAAACAGCATTATTTTAAGGTTTTTGATGCCTTTTTGTTAACATTTTCTACTCCCACAACATCACCTCATTTCAGAACAGACTTTACAATTACACACAGCTCTCTCTCTCTCTCTCTCTCTCTCTCTCATCATCTGTCTGCATTTCCAACTTGTAAAAGATTCTAAATGTCCTTCCAAATGTTCCTTCAGTGATAATAAACACTTGGCTCTTTTCTTTCACCACCTGTGGAAATCTGAACTTATCCCTCACTCTTTGCAGGAGAGATAAATACATTGTGTTTGAAACTTTTAATCTATTTCTTTCTCTAAAGTTTCCATTCTTGAGTTTAGAGAAAGAGAAAAGAGATGGGGAAAGCTACAAGATGGTTTAGAGGGTTGTTGGGTATGAAAGATAAAGAAAACGTGGACAATTTGAATTCCGGTGACCGGAGAGAGAAGAAAAGATGGAGCTTTGCAAAACCCTTGAAGGAATCTCAGGTGCCGGCGCCGGCGCCGGCGATGGGTCACATCAATCCATCGGTATCAGCAAGTAATGCTGTTTGGTTAAGATCTTACATGTCTGAAACACAGAAGGAACAGAACAAACATGCAATTGCCGTTGCTGCAGCCACCGCCGCGGCTGCTGATGCAGCTGTGGCCGCCGCACAGGCTGCCGTCGCCGTCGTGAGGCTCACAAACAACGGCAGAGGAACCCTTTATGGCGGTGGCACTGAAAGATGGGCTGCTGTCAAGATTCAAACAGTTTTTAGAGCCCATTTGGTGATTATTGTTCCTTCTCTTGAAATCTTTAGAGCCCATTTGGTGATTTTTAGTTTCTTTTTATTGAAATCTTGAATTCTTTGAAGCCTATTTGGTGATTATTAGTTTCATTTTCTTGAAACCTTGAAATCTTCAGAGCCCATTTGGTGATTATTAGTTTCATTTTCTTGAAATCTTTAGTGCCCATTTGGTGATTATTAGCTTCATTTTCTTGAAATCTTGTTTAGATGCAAATAATTTGGATTTAACCATCTTTTTGGTTGTTTGATTGCAGGCTAGAAAAGCTTTAAGAGCTCTAAAAGGATTGGTCAAATTGCAAGCTCTTGTGAGAGGATTTCTGGTTAGAAAAAGAGCAGCTGCAACTCTACACAGTATGCAAGCTTTGATTAGAGCTCAGGCTGCGATTAGATCCGAAAGGGCTCGCCGTTCGTTCACGAAAGATCACGAAATCCGCCATAGAAAGTCCATCGTAAGATCCTGTGGTCCTGCATTCGTTGTTTGAATTTAACTTGTACCCATTTGATTAAATTACACATTCTAAAAAACCCATTTTCAGGGGAGGTTCGACATTGAAAGAACTGAATTCCATAGCAAGAGACTCTCGGCTTACGAATCTTCAACAAATTGCTACGATGAGAGCCCGAAAATAGTCGAAATCGACACCTACAGACCTCACTCGAGATCCCGACGCATCAATACTTGCACATCCGATTCCGGAGAGGAATCACAATGCCATTGCAACAACAACAACAACATGCCATCGCCACTCGCAAACCCTGCGTGTATCTCGATTCCGGAGTTCAACCATCTTCAAGACTTCGAATGGGGATACGTGGGCGATGAATACAAGTTCTCGAACACGGCCCAAAGCACTCCACGTTTCATGAACTCCAACCGGTCAAACGCCCCAGCCACGCCGGCCAAGAGCGTATGCGGAGACGGGTTTTTCAGGCCGTATTCGAACCACCCGAGTTACATGGCGAGCACACAATCGTCTAAGGCGAAACTACGGTCGCATAGTGCTCCGAAACAAAGGCCAGAGCCAGGGCCAAAGAAGAGACTGTCTTTGAATGAAATAGTGGCATCAAGATACAGCTTAAGTGGCTTAAAGATGCAGAAATCTTGTTCACAAGTTCAAGCAGCTTATGATTTGTAAGAATGGTTGTTACTTAGATTTGATGAATGTGTTTGGTTTTGATAGATAGGGGCAAAAAGGGAAAATCCATTTTCTTGTTCAAACTGGTCTGCTTCAATGGGACTGAAGATGGGTGTTTTGTGTAAATCATGTTAAGAGTTTTTGAAGTCTGAAGGGTTTGATTGATGAAAGGGGGTTTTGTGTTATGGTTTTGGGTGAAATGAATGTAATTATGATGGGAGGGTGAGCCATGAAACTTGAACCCACTGCAAGTCTTGTGAGCAATGATTACAAATGATGTTCATTTTGGTACTATTTTTTATTTTCAAAGCTTTCAATTCAAACTTATAACTTCCCTCTTTCCCTTTTATAGCCATCTTCACATTTTGCCCTGATCAACATCCTTTTTTAAACAAACATGTGGGCGGTTTGAAAGTTGCTGAATGGTTTGATGCAAAATGATTAAAGGACTTTTATGATATATTGTAATATGAGATAATAGTTATTTGGTAATTATTTACAACGAAATTAGGACGTTGAATGGTTAAGGGAAACCCATGATACAAAACCATTCGAAGGGTTTTAGAACCATTAAGAAACAGACTTTGTTGTGCCAAACAAGATTCACCTCTTAACGGTTCAGAGGCTATCTCTTAATAGAACTATTAAGGTAAACAAACAACCCCTTACTGAATTTGTTTGGTTTAACGAATGTTGTTTAGCCGAAACAACCCTGTTGCTCTGACTTTGGCTTGCATCATCCGTGTATACCTTGGTTCGATGTGTATCACATATGAGCATCTTGAATAGATTCTCTGTAACGGAGAAATAATTTTTTGAACAAACAGATTTTTCAAAACTTTCTCCAAGATGAAGAAAATATGAAATATGGTAAAATTTTCACATTTGGAGAATTTCTAAATTCTCACGAGAACCCAACTCTTTATTTAATTATTGAATAATGGTATGGAAACTGTTGGAACTGAATGCAATTTTTTCAGATATTTTCATTTTAAATTCTTCATTTTAAATAAATTATAGAAAATCTGTTAGAAATGTTGAGCACCGTCAAGTTTTGAAAAAGCTAATGGAATAGAAAAAGAACATAAAAATTCAAAATCACATCGGAGGAGATGCCCTCAGAGTTGAATGATCCATAAAAATCCAGGTATTATTTAATTGTTCAAGAAAAAACAGATAATATATATACCTTTTGAACGTCCATGTTTGGTTTCGTCTCGTAAGTCACAAAAACTATCCTTAAAACTTGATTTTAAAGCAAGCCATTTTCATTTTCATTTTATTAAGTTTTCCCTTTTCAGGTTTATTCATGTGTCCTTTACAAAAAATACGAGCGCTTGAAACGAGAAAACATAATAATGAATGATGATTGGTTAAACGACATGGATGGAGGCGGTTGTTCAAAAACGATGCTAATCCTAATCCTACTACGAGACCTAATTGATGGAATATGTAAAGTACGAATTTCCCACTTGTTAACGCAAATCAAGGGTTTAATTTATAGAATATTACGGTATTAATCTATGGAAATCCAGAGGATGGGTATTATTTTAAGTTGCTCACCGGCGTTTAGTATATTTAATAAACTTTGAAATTTGAATTTTTTGAAGGTAACGGCTATATTATTTTATAATTTAATATATATATATATATATATATATATATATATATGACCTCATTCAAGAAAGAACTGATTAGTTTATGGTGACCGTAAAATCCAATGTCAACTACAAATCAAATGATAAATTAGGAAATTAATAATTTTGGTAATTTTTAACTTAAAATATTACTTAAGGGCATTTTAGTTATTCTACATTTATCCTCTCTCTCTCTCTCTCTCTCTCTCTCTCTCTCTCCTCTCATCTCTCTCCAACGAATACCATATCTATACATGATACATATTGTGACACGCTTTATAAATAACCAAAAAACATGTGATACACTTGGTAAAGAAAACATTACATGATATATTGTGTTACATTTCGTAAAACAACTAAAATATATTGTGTTACATTTCGTAAAACAACTAAAATATATTGTGATACACTTCGTATGACAACAAAAATACACTGTGATACACACTATGATACCAAATCTGGTTGATGAATACAACTGTGATACCACTATATTGCCACTGCGATACTTAATAAGTTTTAACAGTAAGAAATTGTATATTTATTTTCTCAATTGTAACTTCATAAAAAGAAACTTCCATAATTTGTTTGATTAATAAGAAAACAAGTCTCTTTTTCTTAATTAAGGTAATACAGTTAATATAATAAAATGATTGGCTTATAAAGAAGTCTAATCAAATGAGAACTAATTAATTTTGTGGTAACCGTGAGGTCCAATCTCAACCACAAATCAATAGATAAATTAGGAAAGTTATAATTTTCCTAATCTAGTTTTGATTGTTTCCTAATATATATAGAAGTTGGTATTATACAATCTTTGACATTTATACAACCAATACAACTCAATCTCAACCGTCAATTTAATTTGATTAATATGTGATTTTATAGAAGTTTTGATTGTTTCCTAATATAAAGTATTGATTATAATTAATGAACCATATTCATCTTTCATAAATATTTAAATCATAATAAATGAACTATTATCATTTTCATAAATATATCAATTTATTAGGTTGCATTGGTTGTAAAAATACGATGGGTTCTATTTGAAACGAACTCTCTCTCTCTCTCTCTCTCTCTCTCTCTATATATATATATATATATAATATAGAGGTAAGTTATTTTGTTAACCCAATTTATGGTTTTAACTTTGAAAATCCATTACAACAAGGTATTATTGGAAAAAGTTTTCATAAAGTTTGTAACTGCTCATTAATGTTCATATGAATATTAATAAAAAAATCTTCATCATTATGAACATCGACATCTCCCCCTATATGAACATGGTTTATAGATTCATTTGTGTTAGCTATACAAACTATTTCGTAAACAATTCATTTGTGTTAGCTATATAAACTCTTTAGACCAATAAAAATTAATCTAGTACCATGATTCATAGAATTAATGATTGAGGATAATCTAGTAATGTTATGTTTTGTAGTACTTTAATGCATTTAAAAGGGAGTTACATTACTCCTTAAATTTAGCTGTTTTAATATTTTCAATGTGTTGTAAGTTATATTGTTTGTGATTGTTCATAAACAAATGTATTTTGATAAATAATCAATAACTTCAACAATCATCATCCTTAATCGAACGACTTCGTTGTTTCCGGTGATTGTATGATATGGATGATCAACAAGAACATAGTAACAGTCAAATGCATGAATGTGCACTCATCTGAAGCACTTATTTTCCCCAACACCTCATTATATTCTATTTGTATATCTGTAATAAACTTTAATGACTAAATACTGTAATTTCAATGAATTGTTTCTTAAATACAGTCAAAACGTAAATATTTACTTACGAGTCTCGAATGTCAAAATTTTTGTATTGATTCAATTTAACGAAATCAAAGCAGTAAAATTCATCTGTTTCGAATATCAAATCCAAAAAATGTCGTTTTTCAAGAATAAAAATTACTTGTCTAACTTATTAGCGATGGTTTGATCTCAACGACTAATTTCATCAACAATTTACCCTTTAAATATTTACTAGAAGGATATTCGCACAATGTAGTGAAATACATTTCGATTTTAATATTTTATTTTATTTTTGTCCATGTTGATATAATATGGTTTTACATGGTTTTTTGAGAAAACAATGATGTTTTTATTTTTGAATAAAATAAAATTTTGAAAATATCATAATTTTTTGAAAAGATATATCGATATTAGTATCAAATTAACTATTTAAAAATTATCATTTTTAGTATAATTTTTTAATTCATTTTTTTATCATAATTTAATTTATGTTTAATAATGAAGTAATATATTCTTGATCCAACGATATAATTATTTATAAAGATAATAATTAAGTATTTTGTTACAAGTAATAATTATTTTAATTACATTTTGAGTTTTTATATTTAAGCTGTGATGTTTATCTTGTATTTGATTATGTTTATCTACAGTTAATTACACGAATTCATAAATAAAGCTTTAATAAGTTAACTTATATACAATTTGCTTGTAATCTTGAATTTTAAGTAATATGTATTAATTAATAGTATCTCATGCATAAAAAATGATTTTTTTAGGATTTTCATCAAATGCTTTATAATGTGGTATAAATTTTGACCAGGAATTCAAAAATAAATAGTAAATTTATTATGGCTTTAATTTTAGATATTATTATAATTATGTTTTTAATAGAATTTTAAATGGGGGTTGATATCCCCACTCCCTTACGTCATTTCCCACCCCCTCCTCCTCACATCTTTCCTCACTCACACCCTCACATTCACCGAATTTTTTAAAATTTTAATTTTAAATTTACATTTCATACACCTGTAATTAGATAATTAATTTACTTTATATCATTTTCTTTTAAAATTTTCATTTTACACCCTTATCAATTTAACACACATAATTATATATCAATTATAACATGTTTAAAAAATATATTTTTATTTTAACAAATTACATCATTATAATCGTCTCGTTAATRYCTTCGAAATGAGTCCAATATTGAATAGTTTTTGAATTAATTATATTATTATATATTATATATAATATGAAAAAATATTTTTAATATTTA